CCTGAAGTCCAGAGGCTATTCCTAAAACTCACACTTTTGCCCAAGCTTCTTCTCCAGATTCCCTCTTTAAGAGAAGGAGGGAGCAGGGAGGTTTTTTTTTCTGAGCTTCATGTCCACACAAAGTTCGTCATGCTCTGACTGTACCTGTTTCATTGTGACAGTGCAGCCCACGCTCAGTGTATTCATCCTCAAAAGTCTTTGTAAGATAAGACAGTCCCTGTTTTACAGACCAGTGTAATTTGGGAAGTCTGTGGCAGAGCAGGCAGCTGAGCTGTGTTTCCCAGGGCAATACTTCAGGACTACACTTCCTTACATGTGGGAATGAAGTAGCTTGTGTCATAAACTGTTAGCATGGAAAGAGAAGTAACAATGTACAACATCAGGCTCTTACTTTTTTTTCCCCCCTTTCGAGCTACTTGGAAATGCAGAGGGGAAAAAAAAAAAGGAGTAAAAATTAATCACTTTAATGCAGATTAAACCATTTCTAGATTAGAAATAGAAAATTGTTTTCTCCTTTCTCCAGGTGCCCAAAGTGAGCTTTGTAATTCCAAAAAGATGTGAAATGCTTGCAAGTGGTTCATTCTTTTCTACAGCCTCCTTTCCCCCCCGCCCCCAGTAAGATAAAAAGAGCTCTGGCATTTTGTATTCTAAATTTTGACTGACCAGAACAAAATGCTTTCCCAGTGATGTGGGTTTGCACCTAAGCTTTTGTGTGTGTGTGTGTGTGTGTGTGTGTGTGTGTGTGTGTACTGAATTTAACCTTAGGATGTAATATTTCATAAAACATTTATTGTCTTTATTTTTATAGAGCCCAATTCCTCTGTGATACTTTGGTTTCATAGTCTGCCCTGAACAAAATTCAAAGGCTTCTCTCAGAGTTTGAATTTTAGCTGTGGGAAAAGGAAAGAACCTTTGCTCTTTGCAGCAAAATTAGTAAATGGCTCTTGAGTAAAAATAGTTGCAACAGGTAAAGATAATTAGAATCAGAGCCAGGAGACACCTGAGAGGAAGGATCTGGAAAGTGATTCCCTGAGAGCTATTTTATTCTCGAAGTAAACAGGAAAATAAAATTCTCCTTTTTTTTTTTTTTTTTTTTTGACACATGCCTGAGTACCCCGTGCACCAGACTGGCAATGGCAGCGATTCCTTTCCCTCAAAAACTGCATCTGGTAAAGTCGAACGGCAGTCAGCAGACAACCCAAACCTCCTTCTAAGCTATTCAGGGGCAGAAACGCAAAGGCAGCCACAAGGCAGAAAAAGAAATGTTTTTTTTCTTTTGCTGTGTCCAGACCCTTATTGATGCTCCAGTCTGGATGCTTCGGGTTTACCACTTAATACTCCCCCAAAATTATAATGCATCGATTATAAAAGCCATTATAGATGTACCACTTTACTTAGATTGTTAATGAGCTTGGCTATAAAAAGATTTGCAACCTGAATTTCATGACAGAGCCAAGGCATAATTTGCTCTGGGCTACAAAGCCTTTGAACTATTGAGGCAATTTACTTCCAAGTCTGCATTTGCCTTTTGAGCAGAAGTACTCATAATGAGTGCATGTGTGTGTGAGGAGAGGCAAGACTGCAAGCTGCCAACAGTGAGGTATGCACCAACTTTTCCAGCAGTACATCTACCCATCATAAGCTGTTTCACACAGCCAGAGGATAACAACAGAAAATAACTGGAAAAATGATCATTTTGGATAAATGAGAGAAGAAAAATTGTATACTGAGCAGTGCCAAATGAGCAAATTCAAATCACAATATCCAGTAAGAACAAATACATTTTAAGAGTAGTTCTTTCCCTTGTACATGCTCAGTAGAATAAATACAAAGGAACACAATGTCTACATTTTGAAAGTATCCCACTTACTCTTTGAGCCTCAGTAAGAGCATCAACAACAAAGCAAGTTTTCTAGGACTACAAAGCCAGATCCCACACCAGAAGTAAACAAAGCTTTGCAGAACACAAAGCAAAAGTCAAGAGAGAAACTTTAATGCAAAACAGCAGTAAGAATGAAGACAGAGCATCAGTCTCCATGCCACATTTTTGGATTTGCTTACTGACCTTTAAAACATCAGTGAAAGCAAACAAGTTTATTCTAACCATACAATAGGGTTAGGAGCTCATAGTGTCCTTTTCCATCGTATTGCAAAAATACATATTGAGTAAAAGCTGGTTACTAAGCTTATTTTTATAGATATTAACAAGAAAGTCTTTCTCCAACTTACCCAGTCAAACAGAAATGACCCAGAGTGACCAACAGACACTCTTTTACATTCCACTGCCCCCTATTTAGTGCTTTGTAAGGCATGTGAGAGCACTTTCAAGGTGTTGTCTAGACCAGCATTCAGGAGATGGCCCTTTTAATTCTTTTATCTGACATTAGTTCATTAAAGGCTCATTTTCTCTCACTGTGTTCCCACATGTAACTAATGATTCTAATCGACGAACTGGATTTACTACACAGATAGAAACTGTTCTCAAGTTGGGAAGAGAGCTCTTTCTTTGCTGCAGGAGTTTAAATGGAATCTGTAAATCCCCTAGTCATGATAACTTCTGCAATGCTGTTGAGCTGAAGAAACCTGTTAAATGGAGTTGTAAATAATGAACAGTTGTGGGTGGAATCTGCTTCCTCAAAGGCAAAGGCCTGGGGACAGCTTTGCTTACCAGCTGTCTGTGAGGAGCCAGTCAATTGTAATAAAGGGCTGAGACATCACTATTGAGGAGCCAACTGAACTGCTTTTGACATGCAAAGAAAATTCTCTGTTCCTGCAGGCTGATTAGGTCAGGAGTTTATGTTAACAAGTAGTTTGTGTTTAAATTAATGTACCATGTTACAAGGCAAGAGCCTGGACAAGACAAAAGGCTTTTCCTTAGGTGTTAGAAAAACCCACCAGATTAAGCCCTTCTTCCTAAGAAGCCAGGGAAAAAACTAAGTGCTTCATTCACTATGCTGTGTCAAATGACACTTGCTTCTTACATACGCACACACAAACTCACTTCCTTCAGTGTTACTGTGTAAGCAAAAGCATGAAGGAAAGAGAAGTCAAACTGATGTGATTATTCTCCCATCCTCCTCAAGCAAGCTCAGTCCTTGAGTATCTCTGGAGAACTGAGCAAACCCAAGCCTTAGAAGCACACTCAGCTCTTTGCAGCACTGATAGCTAGTTGGTTACAAAGCAGTTCCCAGTGGTCATATAAGCATAATATAAAGGAAAGTGAAGGCCTGTCCTCCTGTGACAGTCACTGTTTTTTCATTTGCCTTGTTTTATATTCCTGTTTCTATTAGTGAGTGAGCACTTGGCCATTCCGCTCCAACAGATATTTCTTCTTCAAAAGGCATAGGATTTGTTTCTGAGTGCTGGCCTGATGCAAAAGTTCTATAAATAAAAATACATCTGCTATATTTGTGACTCAGAGACACCCAGGACTGGGTATATATTGCTTTTCCAGTTAGAGACATCCAAGTACACTAGGTTATGCCTGGTCTCCATCTTGACACAGAAAAGGAAGGCAAAGGACAGAACAGGAGAAGTATAATTAAGAAAGACAGACAAGACAGAAGCAGGTTAGTTAAACCAGCCTCTCCCTGCAACCCTCACAGTAAACTATATGCAAGTTAAACACAGAACCAACACTTCTCTGTGTTGAGAGATGGACTCATGAGCAGCTCACACACCATGAATGTGTAGCAGAGATTCTAGTGTCAGTCCTGTTGGCTGGCAGAGATCTTAATTTTTACATCATTAGGGCTCATTTCCAGGGTAGTTCTTGCAGTAATGCTTGCCACAGAACAGCTGTGCAAGACTTTGTATCCACCACTTCTACTACTTATTAATGGCAGACATGTAAATATTTGCAGGAGGCAGACCCTTTCCATAGCTACCAAAGCAACTTCAGCAAAAATTAAGACTATCAGTCATATCTACTTAGTAGAAGGTCAGTCAACATTAACTCTGACCTAACAGTTTCTTTCCTGCTCATATCCCGCAGCAATGAACCATTGTTGTCTTCAGATTGCATGTGTTTTTAAAGGTAGACAAACTAGCACCTTGCTAAAGTGGATTCAAAGAAAATCTCTACTCAGGAGTGGACAAAATTCATACTGTATGGAATACTGGAGGGGGCAAGAAAAGGAAAAGAGCTGTCATTTTGAAAAAAAAAAAAAAAAAGACCTCTCATAGCCCATATTATTGCTTGGGCTGAGATCACTGTAATCAGCTCCAAGCTCCCAGTTTTAACATGATGCATAGCAGTTATCCTTGCTGTCAGTACTTCACAAAGAATCACCTCTAAAGAGTAATTTCTTTGGACTATTGCCCAGAATGTACTATGGCATTTTGTAGTTATAACGCAATGCTAGGTGGCACAGCTGTCAGGAATCTTTTAATTTCTTCTTATCTTTACTGACTGTGACCCTGACACCTGAGCAGATAATAAGGTATAAAGCCATCTTTGAAATATTTGATGAAAATTTGAAACACATTAGTAATGCTTAACCATGTGTGAAAGTGTCTCTTTGAGACTAATTTGTACTTTAACTGACAAAACTAAGTAGCAAAAGGGTCCAGCCCACAAGCCAGCTGGCCTTGAAAATGCAAGTTTAAAGATTTAAAAAACCTCAAAAACAATCCCTTTCGGTTTCATGACTGACAAAGAAAGTATCTTTTCTCATCTGCCTCATTCCTTGTGTCTAGCTGTGAAACATAGCACAATACATTTCCCTCCACAGGCTTTCCTGTCCTTGTTTGTCCTGCAGTTTAAGGAGCACGGGCCATTATGCAGCAATTTGCACTCCAGCCATTTTCTGGGCAGTTAATGTTCTCAAAAGAAGAGAAACTACAGAGGCTATTCAGTGTAACTTGCTAGGGTTCCCCTTTCCACTCCAGTCTGGGAAGCTTCAGTTCTGGAACAACACCTTGCTGTTTGTACTGTTCTGACTCTTCGTGTGTGTTCCCGAGATGGCAAAATTCCCCTCTCTTTTTTTATTGCCGTATGCCTGGACACAAGGAATATTTTTATTATTTTTATCAGAATGTGAACAAGCAATTCATGTCCCACTTTTACAGGCATTTTTAAACTGCTGCCCTTTTACTCTGTCCCACTTTTATAGGCATTTTTAAACTGCTGCCCTTTTACTTCATTTCATATCCTTGAAGGAGCTTTACCAGGAGATAATAGCAGTCACAGAAAACATTTCTTTTATCTGACAGATCATTACAAGGGCGTGAAAGGAAGTATCTTTCCATCATAACCTACTTGGAAAACCAAACTCTTAATGTCTTCTTTAACTTTTACTCTCCTTCCCTTCCTTTACTCCCCATCTGAAACGAGTCACAGAGCTGCAGCTGTTCTTGTGTTGCATCTTCTGAATTTCCTGAATTTGCCTGTGTTGCTGGATATCTGTTGCTTGTATCAGGTGAATACTGGATGGGATTGATCCCATCAGATGTCACCTGTCCAGGGATGTCATTGCATTTCTGGATTATCCGTGGTACTTCAATGTGTTGTTTACCCATTTGGACAGCTTCATCATAAGAAGGTGGCAACTCCATTGCATAGAGACTGTAAGCTGGAAGGGACACAGTGTTCTTATCCGTATCCACAAATACCGAAGGAATAGGGGCACTTAAAGGGTACTGCCATGAGCTGTATGCTGTGAAAAAGGGAATGAAAAAACCCAGACATTAAACATCTTCATGATATATAAAGGGCTAATCCTGCTTTTCTCCAAGAAATTATGGATTCATTTTTGTGGTGTCATGCACTATATACTAAAAGTTATCAGTATATAAAATTACCTATGATGGAATTGTACATTCTCCAAAAGAAAGCAGTCAAAATTAAAAATATCCCTGCATATCAACATCCAGTAATGACTGTGAAATACTTGACACAGTACATGTATGTTGTAACAGAGGATTCATACATGAACAACTGTGAACAACTCCTCACAACTCCTGACATTAGATAACTGCGGCTGGAATAGTTGGAAACAGAGAGGGGCAGAAAAGTTAAAAAACTGAGGGAATGTCAATAAGAACAGATGTGGGAGACAACAAGTAAGTGGTTAACTCACCATGGACAAGTTAAATTCTGCTTGTCTTCTGCACCCACTCACTGTGGTGCCCTCATGATCCCCCTTTATCTCTCCTGCCCATCCTTTGGGGCTGAAAGTTGTTTGGGGAGTACATCAGAAAGTCCCCCTTATCCCAAGGACTGGACATAGAATTCCAGGCACATGTTCAATAGCAAAGCACTGCTGAATCCCAGCAGATACTTCCAGCACATACTTACAGGTCACTGTGCTGTGGGCAGTGCTGTCACTGTCAATAGCAATAACTGTTAAATCATAAGGGTGCCTAGAGAAGGTTTCCACTGGCAGCCTCTTCTTTCGGCAGCAGAACTTGATGCAGCTCGCTGTGATCCCACAGAGCAGAAGCAGGAACAGAGGCAGCAAGATTAACCTTAGAGAAGGAGGGAGAACACCAAAACTTCATTGCTTGTATTCTACTTCTTTCAGAACTAAATACAATTTCTCTCTAAATGGGTGAAAGGCCAAACCTCCTAGGTGTAGTTCTGAATGGGTTCTGGATCCTGGATCGGGAAGTTGGATCACAAACGCTTAATCACAAGTTGAAGTACTGCTGTGGCCAACAGTACAATCCCTTCTGACTCACAGGTGCAGTAACGTTAATTATCTTAGGCTGTATTTTCAACTTGTATGTGAGAATGGCTCCGCTTTCAACTCTAAGAATGGTATGTACTTGGAGGGAAATGCCAGTACAAGATTGTATAAGTCTAGGATCTGTATTAATAATTGAGCACAGAAATCAGATTTTGCAGTATGTCTTGAAAATACAATTTTCTCTCCACCTATTGTTTCACAAAGTTTAACAATTAGTAATAAATGCAGGTCAAGGTGCTGGTGTTTCAGTTTCTCAATTGAAACTCAACCTACCCACTCCTCAATTTCTCAAATGAATCCACTCTCTCATGAGCCAGCTGAGCAGTGAGATGTGTCATGAGAAGGCGAGGTAGTAAGAACTGCTTCACAGTGCTGTAAAGAAGCAGGCCCAAGGACAAAGTTGAAATGGCTTGACAAGAATTACTGTGTGACAGACCATGTGTCCTGGGTTCAGCTGTAACAGTTATTTTCTCCTTAGTAGTTGGTGCAGTGCTGTGTTTTCAAATTAAGTCTGAGTTACTGTCTGAGTTTAAACCATGACACCGTGTTCCTGAATTCCTTGTTAAGAGTTATATTCCACCCTAAATATGTGTAGAAATGGTCTTGGTAGTGTTCTGTTCTTTTTTCCAAACCAAAGGTAGTACTTACGCATAAGAAACGTTAACACACTGGCAGATGCAAACTATAAAAACAATGTTAAAGTTTTTTGGTAGCTAGAATGCCTGTCTTAGGCAGGAGATGAATCACTCATGCCAAAAGTTTACCCATTTACAAGGTTTGTAAGGGCTGGAGTGAACAACCAGTGAACAACCTCTTGTCCCGTGAGACAGAGATAGCCATGGAAAGCGCACGAGGCCACAGTGCTGAGTGCTCTGCCGAGCTCTCTGGTTCAACAGGACAAATAGGACTGTCAGTGAAGCAGTACCCAGAAAGGGCAGATGACATCTCCTTGGATGAATGCTGTACTCGCCTGACACCTTATCTCCCTTGTGGGCTCATCTGCAATATATTCCACTGGCAGCTTTCACAACACTGAGGAGAAGCCCTTTCCTCCCGCCTGCTCAAGAGCAGAGCATTTCCATTGCATCAGAACTTTCAAACTATCTGGGGTTCGTAAGACTAACAGTAAACTTACCAGATGTACCACAGACTGGTCCAATTAGACATGTTCTGAGGGCATCTGTGAAAGAATACAGGTGATTCACTGATTTAAATATCTACAAACAGCAAATTTATAACAGGGAATAAATATCACATGATTTCTGAGGTGAAAAAGGGAAAGGAATCCGACAGCATGGGACAAAACCCTTTAGACTTCCTCTCAGAGGACTGTTCTTAATAGTTGTAAAACTACTCCAGCTGAGGACATGCAAATAATCCCATTGTAAAAGTTGGCTTCTGAGTCGATAAATGTTTTTACAAAGTGTTACTTTGCTGTTGCTTAGGAGAGAGAATTACAAATGCTGGCATCTCCAAAACCAAATTCAAGTTATTTAAAGTTCACTGAGACAAGGTACATAATAGCCATAGGCCAGCCTGAACATGCCAGCCTAAGACAACTGCCTGCTCCCCACAGTTACTTTCAGATTACTTTTTCTAGCTCAAATACAGCCAGAAATGTGGGGATCAGATCTACTTACAGTACAAGAAAAGGAGATTAGCTTCTATGCAATTTCAGAAGTGTGGCTGCCCCAACAGTAGCCCAGGTCTCTACCTTGCTGCATTGAATGCTACAGGTTTCAGGCAACTGAGTCCCTTGGCACAGAAGAGATCTGCACAAGAGGGTATCTGCCCAAGAAGATCTGTACATTCGCTTTTTGGCAGATGACACCTCGACGTCATATTAAAAGAGAGGATCGTTCACCTTAGGTACAGAGCAAGGGCAGCCAAGCCAGATTTGTAAATTTGACAATCTTAGGGAAAAAGCAGCAGTGAGGGACGGCCGTCAGTCAGCTCTAATCTGGCACTCCGTCATGAAGGGAACAGTTTGGTGACATGACAGACATTAGAAAACTTTACTCACCGACCAGAGCTCTCGCAGTCACTCTCAGGACAGAGCAACGCCTGGCAAATGGAAAACCCAACCAGCTGAGCAGGCGGCCGGGCGAAAAGCGCCTCGTTTACGGGTCTCGGACTCCGCAGCAGCTGGTTCAGCGGAGCCGCGCGACAGGCGGAGCTTCCTAAGGCCGAGCGGAACGTCCCGGGGAGCCGCGGCTGGGGCCGCCCCCGGGCTCGGGTGGGCAGACAGCCCCCCGTAACCCTCACCCAGTACCGGGTGGGGCTGCCTGGGCCCTACCCGGGCCCTGCCCTCGAGTCGGGGCGGCTGCAGGACCGCCCCGGCACCGGCGCGCGGCCGGCCCTTTCCGGGATCCGGCGCTGACCCGTCCGCCCCGGATTCCTCCGTCTGAGCCCCGCAGCTGCTCTCCAGGAGACGTTCGCTACTCTTGTCCGCAAGGCTCTAAAGCGGTGTTTCGGGCAGGGCTCGTTGTTGGCATGTGGCACAGCAACTACAGTGTGTTCCTCGAAGACTGCTCAGGGTCATGGGACCGTTGCTCACTTAGGAAAAGCTGCATTCATAAGTGTGAAGCAATCTCTAAACACCCTGGATAAGCAGAACATGCATTAATAAAAGGTGTATGACACTAGGATGTATTCTCTCACTTCCTTTGGTTTAGAAATGAGCTAGTTAAGGGATTTTAAGGATTATAAAGACCATACACAGATGTGAATTGCTTTCTTATTGCATTGGAACTGCATCAGAGCCAACTAGTATATGCTGACACTTAGATCCAAAGCTGAAAGTGCAGGAATTTTTGTCCGGTGCCCCAAGAGTGAAGACAGTTGCAAAGTTCAGTGTGAAATCGTAATATTCAGAAGAATGCCTGAATTTTCAGTGGACTGAGAGCACAAGTTCACATTGTGAAGATTCTAAAGAGGCTCAGCACTAATTTAAAATGTAGCAAAAGTAACTATGTTTATCTACATGAAGTTAGTGCCCTTCCTCGCTTTCTGAAAACTTCCCTACTGCTCGGTAACTGCCAGCTGTGCAGAACTATTTGGAACAGTTTTGTGTTGTGTGCATTTGATCTCCCTTCCAGGGTGCAAGGACTCAGAGAATCAGCACATAAACCTCATTATGTGCCTGATCAACTGTGCCAGCAGGAACACCCTCTGCCACTCCTGAGGGCAGTGCTGTCCCTGGCTGGCACTGTCACCCACTCCCAGCCCTGCTGCCTCCCGTGGTGATGGTCACTGCTCCAGCATATGCAGATCTTCAGATTGAAGAGTTAAATAACCTCACAGCCACTTGATCCATTATTAAATGAGAACAGATCAGAATGGAGCCAAAAAGGCTCAGGGGAGAGCTTGTAGCAGTCTTTCAATACCTAAAGGGGCTGGTATCCAGGGCCAAGCAGCAATATGCCTTTGAGTGGCATTGAGGGAATTTTGCCACAGGCTTACTGTGATTCAAGAAAGAGTGATACAAGGTTTAAAAGATTATCTGTGTTTCTAGGTGTCTGCTGATGTCCTGGTCCCTTCATTCCCTGCAGGACTGTGCCTCTGTAGTTTTTGCTTCCCTGAACTAGCTGCTGCAGGACAGTCCAGCTTCCCCACTAATAGGCAGAGATCTGCTCTTAGTCAGAATTCAGAGGAAAGCAAATGTAGAAATAGGAAATTCCTGGAGAGTCATGACCTAGTGTCTAACTATGCTCAGCAATTCAGCAAACAACACAGTCACTGCTTCCTGACCATGTGTTATTAGGAAGATTTTCCAGTGTATTGTAAAAATGACTTGCTAAATGATGCAGAGGAGACTTGAGGCTTTATTCTGGTCTTAAAAAGGAAAAATCAAGGATTTTCCAAATCCATTAAAATGCATCTGCAATTGGGGAAAGATACATCATTTGAAACTCATGCATGTAGATGTAAAAGAGGTATTGCTCCTGAGGAAATGATCACCTTCAGCAGACCCTGTCTGCAGTCTCTGCTTGGGGCCCTCATTAATTCTTTCTTCTACAACCAGATTAATGCCACTGAGTCAGCCTGAAAACAAAACTAGTGGAAGCAGAGTTTAAGTAGAAATTTAAGAAGAAATGTCACCTTCCTTCCCACCTCTCTGCTCCCCTTACACTTGCAACAGCCTCAAAATCTTTCCACGTACCAACTGAGACCCACTGATTTCCCAGTAATATAGGCCTCTGGCTTCCTTTTCACTTAGCTTGGTTCCCTCACTCGGTGGGAGCATATGCAGACACAATTTTTGTCATGAACAGGATTTGGTAAGATTCTTTAACGCCACCTTTTAAGGCCAGGAGGGCTGTCACAAGTGGAGGGTCACCATCCTACAAAAAAAAATCCATACATAAAACCAAGGCTTGTTTTGTTTTGTTTGTTTGTTTGTTTTTTATAGGACATATCAGTTATCACAGTCTAAACCATGTATTTTGCATCTCAGTGGTAAGGTGCACCACTTACAGATACAGATTACCCCTCATCCCACCCTGCTGGCTCTTTCACATCCCCACACAATGCCCATAGTGCAGTAAGTAAAGTGGCAATGACCAAGCATTTCATCTCCAGAGTGCTACCGATAGCACCACCACATTACAACCATGGCTGCTGGGCACAGCAGTGACAGAGTATGCTGCAGTGAGGGCTGGGAAAGAAATGGGTCCTGTTAAACATGAGTTAGTGTTATATCTTGTGTAACAGCCAGTGGTTACCAAGAGGCACGATGTCAACCTGATACATCATGCCAGGAATCTTACATCATTCTTTCTGCACGTGATAGCAGCAATCTTTTAATTTTGGAACAAGCTACTCATTCAGCCCTCCCACACAGCTCACAACAACAGCCAGGGAATTAAATTCTTTCAGTCTCCAGGGATGCCCAAGCAGATGAATCAGGAGGAACAAACAGAGCCCCGCAGAGACATTTGGGTCTCACACCCAGACTCTGAGCACAAAAGGGCAAAAGAAGCCAGAGAAACAGAGTTCATAAAGCAGTTCATGAAGTGGAAAATAAAAAAGCCCCACTGACTTCTAGGAACACAACCAGGAAAAGGCAGCCCACAGCCAAAGAAACATGAACATTGTGGCACACTTAGTTCTGTGTCAGCAGGTTTTCTTGCACAGCTCATGTCAGTGTGATCAGAGCTGTGTCTGAGTTATCATTAGCAGCATTTTGGCACTATATAAGGCAGAATAACTTCACACAGATCACTAAGTTGTGTAAGGTGCAAGTGACTAATGCTCATCTTTTCACCACACCACCAAATGCAAGTCCATGGGGAGGTTGCAAACCCCCAAATCAAACATGTTGCTCCCACTTTTATTCTCCTATCGGTGTTTCTACCAGCTTATGCTCCCTTTGGTAACTACATGTGTCAAAAAAGCCTGTACCGCTGACGGCCTCAAGATCACCTTTTGTGTTTCTCGTACAACTCGGTTAAAACAGCCGCCACATGCCGTACACCAAGTGTAACTTACGCAGAAGTCAGCAGGTGGCACCCAAGAAACGCGGATGCGTTTGACTTGACCCCTCTCGACCGTTCCTTGAGTAGGTTCAACAGCGAATCCCTTCTGCTGGAGGAGCGGCAGGTCATGGAAGGCGAACTCTGTGTGCTGCGGAGACAGGATACACACAGGACCCATTGTAGCCGGCACCAGGACTGCTCATTAAAGAAAGCGTTGCCCAGATGCTGCTGCTTGCCATACTATTACCACCTTTGAAACCCCAAGTACCTGTCTTGTTCACACTTCAAGCTGTCACAAAATACTACACTAAAAACACAGGGTTGGACCTGTAATCCACCTCTGTGCTCAAACTTATGTATTCAGAATTAGGATAGCAAACCGCTAAATTTTGTTGCTGACTTAATATGACACTGCTAATCCCTCATACTAGCCCCTGAAAACTTATCTTTCCTTTTCAAACACTGATGCTTTTATAATGTACAGTTTATCAGAAACCCTGAAAGCTGTACTTATTAATTTACAGATTTTTTGACAGAAAGGACCAATGGCTATCTGTACCCTGTCAGTATTCCTTACAGCACCTGACATAAAACAGCACTTTTAATTCATTTTTGATTTTCTTCACCTTCTTGAATGCAAACCGAGCTGTCTGTATGGCTCCAATCCTCAGCTCTGTCACTGCTGGTGCTGGAGAACTCTCTCCATCCATGTATTCCAGAGCAAGGAGAACGGACTTCACTGGTTCTTGCAGTTCTAAACATAGTCAATTCAAGTAAACTTGGATACAGTCACAACTGGGCAAGTATCAATTTGGAACAGGTATAGGTTGCACCAGGATGGTTCGAAATGATGTTATGGTAAATTCATGTGTTGGTGTAGATAGGGAGATCCTTCACACAGACTTGGTGAAGAATTAGGCACACAGATGTTTTGCATAATTTGCAGTTGCAAATTTATCAAGCTTCCTGCTCATTTTCTAGCCCCATAGCACATATGCTGTGCGTATGATATTCCTACTTGTATATGGTATATGCTTGGATTTATTCATAGCTCAGGAACCAGGATTTGCTTATGCACTGTCTCTAAACACATATCCTGTCCAGAGAAAATAAGGAAGGATAAATTCAACCTCCTGAAAGTATGCTTGTTTTGTTACTATACAATTGGGAAAGTCCTGGATATGTTATAATGTATGAAATTATTATATAAACATTTAATACAAGTCAGAAGTACAGAAAGCAAATGCATCTTAATACTTCATAGTAGTACTATTAAATTATAACAATTTTTTGCAAGGTAACTTGCAAAGATAGAAGATGGTTATTAAGAGACAACTGTATTAAAATGAAGATAAAATCTTTCCTTACATGCAAGTTTCCTGCTATCCCATAATGCTTATTTGTTCTGATTCTGCAAAACTTATCTTTAATTTACCATTTCTGAAAGGATGAGGAACATGCCCATGTCTTGTCACTCCCTGTTTTGTGAAGCAGTATGATGTTACCTTCTTTTGGTGTTCCCTGTGAAGATAGGGGTGGTGTTACAGCCAGGGATTCAATGGGCACATCCAGTGGAA